ACGTTAGCTCCATGAGGGAGTGGCCTCCGTCTCTTATTTACAATGGTATTCTCAGAGCTAGGCACAGGCACATACTGGTAGGAGGCACTCAATTAGCAATCGTTGAATGAATGATTAGACTTCAGCGAGGGATGGATTAAAACCTTAAGAAGCTCTCAGAACCAACGATTATGGCATTCCTCCTTCATATTTAATTCTAACTAAAAATTTTGGTGCTTCTCCCCCATATTTAACTTAACTAGAAACGATACTAAACCATACAATTAGACGTACTGAAATGAAAACAGTTTCTTTCTAGATTATCTGATTGTAAGACCCTGGAGCCCCTGCTTTGCTGGTGCCCTAAGTGTATGAGCTCTTTGTCTGCCCCTGGAGAATCTAGCACTCACTCACTCCTTTAAACGTGCTGGAAGTAGTTTTAGGCTAAGCTTGCCTATGCCCACAAAAAACCTTGCTGGGATTTTGATAGGAATTGGGTTAAATCTATAGATCAATTTGGGAAGAAGTGGCATATTTACTATATCGGTTCTTCCAATCCATGAATGTAGTAAGTCGCTCCAATTATTTAGGTCTTCTTTAATTTCTTTCATCAGCATCTTATAATTTTCAGCATATAGATCCTGAGCATGGTTTGTTACATTTACACCTAAATATTTCATATTCTTTGGAGCAACTGTAGTGGTATTTATCGTGTTTTTTATTTGTTTCCACGTGTTTGTTGTTAGCATAAAGAGAAGCTCTTTTAGTAGAACAAGGAGAAATGGACTCTTTAGTGAAGTTTACTTGTTCAATGTTAGTTGCTGGACTAGTAACAAGCTATTTACCCTAATGTTCAAGTATATCCATAATGTGCCTCTAAATCTCTTAAATTTAGCCTAATTCTTAATTGATACCACTAATCTCTACTACTATTAGAAGGGTCTACTGGTCCCTCACCTGAATACAGCTTATTCATTCCACTTTCCTGTCTTTGCTCATGGCATTCCCCTTCTGGAATAGTTTCCCGAAACTACACCTTAACTAGCCTTCAAGGATGAGGTCAAAGGTCCTCAGAAGCTGCCTTCCCTGACAACCCTAGCCTTACAATGCTCCTGGTCTCTGCTCGACTCTTTTCACCAGTATTGTATGCCACTCAATCATTAACTTAGTTTTTAATTAGTTTTAATCTATGTCTTGTTTCCCTAATTAGATTATATACACTGGGAGGCTCCCATAATAGCTATCATAGCACCACATACATGGAAGACACTCCAGTTTAATTGTATAAATGAAGAAAGGGGAGAGAGGTGTCAAGATGTGTCCGTTAAAGTGAGGAAGCTGCAGCGTGGAAAGGGTACTCCATAAATTCTCTGGGAGTCTCTCCTCCAGGCAAGATCCATGCTCTCCACCTCTAGGAGAAGGGTTCTCTCTCTTTCCCCTCCAGCCCCCAAATCCCACCTCCTCCAACTAAGCAGATTTGAGATGCAGATCCTTTCCAACTACGCCTTAGAAATTGTTCTAAGAACACCAGGTCTACGGTTAGCAGATTTTCAGAGGTTTATTAAAGAGCACAGGAAATCTCACTGAAGCTGCAGTAACATCCCTGGCCACCAGAGGACAGGGACCAAGGGTAGAGAGGGGTTCCTCAGCAGAAGTCTTAAAGAGGTTAAAGGCAGACGCCGAGCATCGGCCGGCATCTAGGGCCTTCAGACGGCGTTTACTAAGCGCTCAACGGCCTCCCTTCTCCAGGTGGGCTCCTTCTCCTCCTCCAAAAGATGGCTCAGAAGTTCCCAGAGGCTTACCCCAATACTAACCTTAAACGATTATCAATACTAACGAACGCATTTGAGTTGCGGGATTTAAAGGTAGAAAAGGAGTATGGGGGTGTTTTCATCTTTCTAACCCACCCCAAACCTGCTTCTTGCCAATTAAAAAAAAGTTCCTCAGGCGGTGTCCAAATGGACATTCCGCAACAAAGATGCCTTTAGGGACCAATGTCCCAAATCCAGGACCTTACAAATGGAATCGTTTAGGAGCCAGATGATTCCTACACATAAATCCAGGCTCACGGAGCAGTCCACTCGCAGTGTGCTTTTCCGTCATTAATCACATCTTTGTTATGTGATATCCACGTGAGTACTTCTCAGTAGAAGCAGCTTCATGCTCAAATGCTCAAAGAACACTAGGATAAAGCTCCGATTGTCCTATTCAGTGATTCCGAGTCCTGGTTTGTCACCACCTCAGGTCTCCAGGTTTCCAAAGTGTGTAATGTAGTCTCCAAAGCAAGCTGTTTTAATGAATCCAAATAAAAACCGCACGAAGTGTGTGGCGTTACATCAACAGGGTCTTGCACCTCTCAAGAGGCACTGAACCTCTGGTCCGATTTAAAGATGATTCTGTGCTGCCCGAAGTAGAAAACATTTTTAAAGAGAATTTTAGGCTGCCCCTACTCGTTAAACTCGTAAGCATAACTAAGTAAATATATGCAGAGTGAAATAATGAAAGTTAGGAACATTCAAGTGGGGGCTTTCGACGACAAACACATCCAGATGGCCGAATGCCTGACAGCACTGGTGTGATTTTCCTGAAGTACCTGTAACCTCTCTTTCCTAACAGACGGCCGTGCCCTGCATTTGGGATTCGTCAGACGATTTCAAGAGCGCTTGTAATTCTCTCAAATCATTGTTTGCGTTTCTGCGCGCTGGGGAGGCAGCTGGAAGCAGCCCAAGGAGGAGGCGCAGGCTGTGCATCTCGGGCCGGGGGACCCTGAAATACCTGTCGGGGCGCAGCGCTGCCGGCGCGCGGCCGCGGCGCGGACCCGGCCCGGGGGTCGGGGCCGGGAGCCGGGGGCGGCGGCGGCGGGCGCGGAAGGGGAGGCCGCGGGGCCGCCTCCTCGGGCCGCGCCGGCTCCTCCCAGCGGCGCCTGCGGAACCTGCCTCGGAGCCGCCGAACCCTGGAGCGGAACGTGCCCCGACCCCTCCCCGAGCGGCGCGGCCGAGGCGCGGAGGCGCGCGCGGGGCTCGGCGGCCGCGGCCCCGCCCGGCGCCCAGCGCCCTGCCCTCGCCTGTCTCCTCCTTTCCCCCGGGCTCCGCTGAGTTCATTCACTGGGATTGGTTTCAAGTGACGCCATCTCTTTATTTTTAAACCAATGACCTCATCCGCGCTTGAAGTTTCCTGACCAGCGACTCTTTCTCTTTCCCCCCAACCCCCCACCCCACCCCCCCGCCTTTCCCCCTCTTTCTGCGTATCCCTGTTTGGGGGGCTTTCACCAGTTTTTCAACGATTATTATCACCTCTGCCTCCCCCCTCCGCCTGCCCCACGCGGCCCCCCACCTTCACCTCCCCAGTTCTTCACCACTTTCAGCATTGTTTTTTCAAGGCTGATGGGGGGGTAGTGGAAGAGAAAGAGTGAAGAAAAGTGGCAAACGTCTCTTCTCTGCCTAAGCCTCCCGCCCCCACCCGCCTCGCAGAGACGGAGAAGATAATATAGTGAAAAGAAGAGGCGGCGGAGGAGAGCGCGACGGGACGGGCGCGGGCGCGAGCGCAGCCTCCCTCCCGGCTCCGCGGCGGCGGCGCCTCGCCAGTCCGGGAGGCGCGGGGCCCAGGGGAGACGCCGTGACAACGCTCGTTTCCCCCAGACGGAGTCGGGAGGTCGGCAGCCCCACAAGTAAGTGGCCTCCGGCCGGCCGCGCGCAGCCTGCAGGCGGGAGGGTGCGGGGCTCGCGGCGCCCGCCCGCGCCGGCAGCATGGACGCTCCGCGGCGCGCCCGCCTCGGGGTGCCCGGCGCCGCGCGCTGCGCCGCCGCCTCCGCCGGCCCCGGCGGCCGGGGCCCCTCTGCGGAAGGCGGGCTGCGGGCCCCCGCGGCCCGCGGCCGCACGGGCGTTGGAGGCGGGGGTGTAGGCCTCGCTGGGGGCCGGCCCGCGCGGGGTCTCGGTGCGTGCGCCCCCGGCCGCGCCGCGGCGAGGGGGGCCCAGCGGCCGCTTCCCGCCGCGGGGCGCGCTCCCTTCGCGGCCGAAGCTGCTCCCTTCCAGGCGCGGCTGTTACCCAACACGCCTGCCAAGTGGGGCCCCGGCCTGACTGTTCCCATTATCCCCAATTCGCCTTTGGTGTGAGCAGCGAGGCCACCTGGGTGGTGACGGTGCTGCTTTCTTAAACCAAACCAGCCAACCAAAAACTCAGTTGGCATGCTGGGGCCCGGGGCATGGTGTTGGGGGCCCCGGTGCGCCGGTGACTTCTTTATTTACACCAGCCGTGCAACGTGAGAAATAAAAAAAGCCCAGGCAGACAACCGAGGGTCTGTTTATCATGTGTAGTTTTATGTAATAAAACGCCAGGGAGGAAAATATTTATGCAAACCTGAAGTTTCCAAAGGCTGAGTTTATTTCCTAAAAATCCTGGTAACTAACTTGAGAAAATGCAAGTAGATAGGAAAATGAATGGATAGTGCAAAATCCTAAAGAAGTTTATTAAACGTCAGCTGCAAAGAGCCTAAAGTTCTGAGTGTCTCAAATTGTTGGGAGAAAGCACACCTTCTAAGCAGCCTGTGATGAATAAAGTGGAGAGGAAAAACCTGTTGCATAATCTCATTTGCCGTGGGGTTTGCTGTGCCGTCCCCTTGAACCAAGGGGAAGTGAGTTGAGATGCAGGGTTTTTAAAACTCTGTGAAGTTTTTATTTACCCAGTGCTCTGGCTGCCACTTCTGCTTTAAAAGATTATAAGTAAATACTCTGCTCTTAAAAGTGAGCCAACCTATCAAACCTGTTTAGAAAATGACCAGGTATGTTTCTTTTCCTTCTTTCCGGTGTGTGTGTGTGAGAAATTTACCATCCGTGACCTTCTGACTACTATTTGGGGAACTTAAGACTGTCAGAGAAATACCTCTTTCTACCACTCATTTTATGGGGCTGATTGAGAGTACACAAAGGTGACAACTGTTTCCTCAGGATTTATACGATTTCGAACTCCATCAAGAAAAGAGATTTTCAAAGTTAAGGTAAATTTTTAAAAGAATTCTTGCCAGTTGAATTAGTTACTTAAAGTATTTACTTTTCCTTGAGAATCATGGATATTGGTGGACATGCAGCTCGGGAGCAGATCATTGAGGCTTGTGGAGTTCTGTATTGGGTGAAGGCAGCAACCTAGGGAAGTATATTGAAATACTAAGAATTGTGGCTTTATTTTAGATATTTTAGTCCAAATGCGACGAGGCATCGTGAAAGTTGTTTTTTAAAAAAAATAAAGTAGAATTGACTGAGTTTGAGGACTGTGGAAGGTTACTGTTAAAAGTTTTGTGGGTTTTTTTGGTTAAGATTTAACATCTTCGTAAAAATTTGGGCTAAATAACACCAGCCCACAAGTTGTTTTTTAGGTAAAATCATTTGTATTGATCAAAGTTCCACAAGAGGGAAAAATTAAAAGTGAGTTTATTCTTATTCTGTTGGTAGTATGGTGAATAGCGTATGAAAAAAAGTCAATTCAAGCCCTATAAACCTACATTCGGATGTAAAATAATTGAATAATAAGTAAAAATAGTCATGTAAAATTGAGGATTAGGGGGGTCTCTGGCCAGAAGCTTGATGGCAGTAACTGAAAAGGGGGCAAAAGGGAAGATCCTGTTAACCCAGTTCCTTTCCTTTTTCTTATACATTTAAAACCTGTTTGTGGAAGTGAGGCTGAGATCAGGTCTGAGATGGGAGCAGCGTTTAGGCTGGGGTCAGGAGAACGGCCAGGGTTTATGTGTGAGTTTGTTTTGATGCTGTTTTCTATAAATGCCTCTACTGGGAATTTAATTCCATAGAGGTTTTGGCCTATGGGATTATATATTGATGAAGCTGACTCGCAGAGCTGTCCAGTGTTAATGTGTTTCTGTTTTTCAGCCAGTCATAATATCCTACTAAATATAATTTGCCAGAATTACCAGTGTAATTTGTCTTAGACATCCAACATTTCCTGGAGTACTAAAAAAAAAGTGGAGTTTTCTGTCCTATGTTATTTGGAGTAAAAATTTCACTGGATGCCTGATGTTTTTAAAAGGATTTCCATTTTCAAGCAAATGCTACTTTAAACTGAAGAAGTAAATTAATGTAGGGTAAGCTGATTTGGATCAGAAATCCTATGAAAAGGGAGGAAACAGGAGAAACAGAAATCAGATTTTCTGACAGATTTCAACAGATTGAAAAAACTTGTTTAAAAAGTTTCATAGGAAAAGCCACAATTGATACTTGATTGGCTCTTTTTAAATTAACTTCATCAAAATTTAAAACTGAGACAGATATCCACCATCATAAAAGAAAATGTTATTAATGTTGGCTTAAGCAAAAACATAATTAAGAACGTAAATCTTGCCCAGAGCTACATATGATACATTCCAAAGCCAGCTGTCAACTTTTTTCCTGATTTTCTTGTGTTGTGGATAATCTGATATTTTTCTACATTTCATTAGCCCAGATAATCAAGAGTTGAGTATATGAAGGGATGGGGTTCACAAAGCTTGGCTAGATTTAAAGAAGTAGGCTCATGCTTTAAGAAGAGGCTGTTTTCGTACGCAGACTGAGAAAGGGAGTTAAAAATGTAATCAAATAAATGAGGGGAGGAAACAGGAGTGGCGCAAAAAGAAGAATCCAAGGCAGATTACCAAGGACAGGTACAAAGAAATAATAAAAGCTTGCCAGGGGTGTGATCAGTAAAGGAGGAAATGGGATACATCTTGCTATGAAAGGAAGAAGGTGTAAAGGGAAAAAATACCCTCTAATAACTCCGCAACAAGAAAGAGGGTAATGAAACTTTACCTCCTCTTTGATTGGGGTTACATACCTCCTTATAGGTATCACCAAAAAGTCACATGATTTTTTATTACATAAAAAATTTAATCTTGGGGGAGAGGAATAGATAAAGTCAATTATGGGCATAAGTTATAATTACATGAGATTGTAAAACTTGAAATTGCCAACGATCAATTTAAAATAGAGGGGGACCCACTGCAATTTCAGTTGAGTTATTGGAAAGGGAGGGATGGGTTATAAAAAGTTAAAACTTAACTAAATTGATTTCTGGATTAACTACAGATATAATCAATCAAGCAAAACATTTATTAGTGGTACACTATTTACATGGACTGAGGTGGATATCAAAAGCTCGGGACATGGGTCCATGCCCTTAACAAGGAGAGAAGGAGTATAAGAATTCTATGGGAGGTATGTACATATGCAAAGATAAACAATTACTGGACAGCTGGGAAGTGCCAAATTGTGTAAAGGAGAAAGAGATTGGAGGATTGGGGAGGTAATCTTCATAAAGATAATAGAATTTAACCCTGGCCTTAAAAGATGGTTAACGTGTGTATGGAGGAAAGGAAGAGGGGGAGACCATTCATCCAACTCTTCATTCAGCAAATGTATTTGGAGCCCCTACTATGTGCCAGACACAGTTCTCGGAACTGGGCATACAAAGGAAAGTAAGGTTTTTGCTGTTATGGAACTTACATCTTAGTGGGGGAAGACGGAAGAACAATAAACAAGTAAACACTGCGTGGAAAATTTGATGTCAAATAGTGATGTCTTGTGAAGATAGTACTGCTTAAGGTCAAGGAAATTATGGAGGGCTAGTTACGGTCGCACTTATTCTGTAAATAACCTGTTTTGCCTATGATATCCTGATGAGTGATGTTAATGATAGAACTTTTTAATATTTATTTGCAGTCCAAATCAATTTGAAGTCTACACATTAACTTCATCTTTAACCAATTTTTTAAAAGAAACCTACATAATGTTTTTTAGATTGAAGCCTGCAAGCTTTGAGTTTTTAACTTCTCATTAATTTATCTACAGTTCTTTTGCTGCCATTTGCTAAGAATCTCATATTTTTGCAGTGAGGTTTATATCATTGTTTACAGTGTTCTTAGGTTTGTGATATACTGGGCTGTATACTTAGATTAGATTCTCCATTAGGAACAATAGTCACAATAGTGCTATAAAGTTAAGCTAAATTCCAAGTTTGTTTTGATGGTTCCTCGTATGAGAACACGTACAACAAAAGAGGTACCCACAGTATAAGTAAGCTATTCAGCTTGATGACCAGCTAGGTGAAGTTGGGTAAAGGATGACACCTCTCCAAGGTCTTGTCCACATGGTACAGGAGATGAATAGTAAATCTGCACGGCATTGGGCTCTGTGTGCTTAGTTGTGTCTCCTTAAAGATTGGTAGGGGAGTTAGTGGTCTCACTGGATATGCTATCTTAAAATTCTATCTTAGAGTTTTTAGTTTTTCTACAGATAGTAGAAACCTGAAGCAAAAGCGTGAAATGGTGAGGTCTGGATTCGTACTCTAGTTATCTGACTGCCAGGTTTTTTTTTGTTTTTGAGAGGATGTCTTTTATGATGTTAACCAAAAATTTCTTAGTGCCTATTTCATGTTTTTGGACACATTTATGAAATACTTCTCAAGCATCGTTTAAGAAATATGTTCCCTCCCCTTCTCTACTCTTTCTGCGGTTTTAAACTTAAAAAAATTTACGGGTGAAATTGAGGTAAAGGATTCCAAAAATGATTTATATTAAGTGTGTGTGTGTCTATGGAACCAAATCTCTCAAAAAATTGTCTATATAGACCCAACCAATTTTCATCTACAATACATTCTGATGTATTTGGGATAAGCCTATGGAAAAGAAAACAATTTTCAGAGGAGGTAGGAAATTCTTTAGTGTTGCATTGATTTCCTTCTAAATGAAATACTCCATTTAGAAAAGAATTGTAGATATAAATGCCAGGGGTCTGTGGTGTGTGAGATAAAAACTAATGTGACATGTAGCCTTCAGAAATATTTGGGAGGGACGGTAGAACTCAGATTTGTTTTAGTGTCTTGGTGAGGGGTGGGACAAACTGCAGTCTACAGAAAAAAGATGCACCGTAAATTGAAATGGTATATGGCAAGGTAATTAGTGTTAAATGTCTCCATTCTTTCCCTTACAATTAATAGAGAAAGACAGAGAGAGTTATATGCTACTTATTGTTTGCATTGTATAAATTAAAACAAAAATACAACTCATGTCCTAGGCTTTTGATAAATGTTTGCTGAATAAATTGAATTAAATTTCACAACGGTTACTTTTAACTGTGGTTCCATTATATCTCGAGCTTAGAACACTGTTTTTTGAGCTTTGAGTTGAAGTCTGCAGGAGGTCGCCTTACGGCCTTGGGCACCTGATTGTTTCAGCAGTCTGTTCATCCTAGAACCTGGACCCTGACCTTACCTCCAGCTTGCCTGACCCTGTGGCTGACCTGACCTCATCTTTTCCGAAATGGCAGGTGGTTGTCTCCTTCTCTTCCTGAGCAGCTGAGCTGTGTCCTCTTCTGGTTACTTCCTAGAATACTGAAGTGTCACCAGTCTAGCCTGTTTCGTAGTGGGTTTCTTTTGTTATTATTTTTTTTGCTGAGGAAGATTGGCCCTGAGCTAACATTTGTGCCAGTCTTCCTCTATTTTGTTTGTGGGTCACCACCACAGCATGGCCACCCATGAGTGGTGTAGGTCTATGCCTGGGAACCAAATCAGGGCCACTGAAGTGGAGCACGCCGAACTTAACCACTAGGCCAGGGGGCTGGCCCCATCTTTTGTTATTTTTGTTTGCTCTTTGGTTGGGGGAGAAGCACATTCCTCAGGAAGATAGTTTTTGACTTCATTTTGTAAACTGTACATGGTATATAAAGCATGGTATTATTTCTGCTTTCCTAGCTTTAGGTAAAAATCTTGTGTTCACTTGAAAATGAAGCTGGGAAGAATGATATTTTGATGATACAAACCAACTGTAGACTAACTAACATCTTTTTTTGGAGATAATAAGGAAATTAAAACATGGAATGTGTATTAGATGGTATTTAAGAATTATAACCATAAAATTTTTATCTATATTAATGGTCTTGTGATTATCTGTATATGTATCATCTGTTAAAGATACATATGGAGGTATTTACAGGCAAAATGAAATGATGCCTAATATTTGTTTTAAAAAACTTTAGGATATGCACCAACACACACAAATGAGAAATAAATAAAACAATAGTGGCGAATTTTTTATAATTGTTGAAGCTGAGTGATGGGTACATTGGAGATTGTTACTGTTTTCTGTACTTTTGTGTATACTTGGAAATATCCATGATAATTAGGTAAAATACACATTACCAATTATAACTGTAGGGAAGAAACTTAATACAGTCAAATTATATGGTTGGACATTTGAGCTATTTGGCTAATCAAAAATCTCTACTTTGCATTTTCTGTAAATTCTGCTGTTTGTAATAAATTTTTAAGAATAGGGAGAATTTTGTAGAAATACGGTCGTAAGCAGTGTTTAAAACTCTTAACTTTGAGACCTTGTAATAAGAATATACCTGTAGTATATAAATTGCTTTGACATATTTTGTCTTTTATCCTCACAACAAGACATGAATTATCCATTTTACAGATGAGGAAACTGAGACCTTAGAGAGACTGAGTAATTGATCCAAATCCCAAAGCAAGCAAGAAGTGGCGCCAGAACTGGAGCTGAGATCTGCTGACTCATTTTCAGGTGCCTATTCTCTTATGTAACATTCATATAAGTGCTCTTTTTTTGTGATGTTATAAACCAGCAATTTTTGAACATTCTGTTGTCAGGGCACCTTTGCACTCTTAAAAATTATTGAGGATTCCAAAGATCTTTTGTTTATGTGGACTATATCAATATTTAACATATTGGAAATTAAAATTGAGAAATATTTGAAATATTTATTCATTTAAAAATAAACTCATTAAAAGTTAAATAACATACTTTTATGAAAAAAGTATTCCAAAACAAAAAACATAGTGAGGAGCGTGACGTTGTTTTGTATTTTGCCATTCTTTGTAATGTATTGCTTAATAGAAGACAGCTGGATTTTCATAACTGCTTTTGTATTCAATCTGTTGTGATATGTTGTTTTGTTTGAAGTGTATGAAGAAAACCCGGCCGTACACAGATACCTAGTTGAAAAAGGGTGGAGTATTTTAATATCTTTTCATGTAATTGTGAATATTCTTTGTTATGTCAAAACCCAACAAGTGATAGATTCTTAAAGATTAGTTGTAACATTGAATCTGAAACCATATCTGAAATTTTTGTACTCTGTAACATTAAAAGTCTGTTGGTCCATCTTGTACTTTGAATGGATCTTCGTCCTCTGCGTGGTTTTGTAATGTTGTACATTGGTCATTTGAAAAATAACGGTTTACTGAGTTATGCAGATCTTTTAAGTGTTGACACATGTGATTACACAATATGTAACAAGTCACATTTGTTGATATGACCATTCATGTCATCAAAAAAGTTTTTAAGAATTGGGAAGCGGTCAAGATTTTGGTGTTGAGTTCAAGTTTTCCAAAATTCTAGTTTCTCCTCAAAAGTTCAAATTTTACATTGGGAACAGATACTGTCCGTTTTTTCCTTGAAGTGTCAGACTCTTTTTATTCATCTTAGAGAAAAATGTCTGCCAAATACCTGTCTGAATAACTGTAAGTTGTCTGCCAGTCATTCTTTTAAGCAAAAATTGTACTCTCTGAAAAAAGTTGTATAGTTTAGCTCCCAACTCTAGCAATGGCATAAATGCTTTTCCTCAAGACAGCCATTGTGTTAGGCACGTAGTGGAACTGCTTTTGTGTACCTTCCATTTCATCGCACAGAATATTAAACAGCCCACGTTCTCACGAGTGCGATTTAATAAAATTAATAACTTTTTTGTTTTATCAAGGACACTGTTAAGTGAAACTGCTTTTTTAGAATTACTGATAGACAACAAAGAATATAATGATTGTTGGTACTAACCCCTGCCTTGATTCATGCTAAAGTGTCAGCAGTTCTGTCCGCCATTGCTTTGTACCATCAGAGCAGATAGCAACATGATTGTTTTAGGATAAATCATGAGATTTAGAAAAGTTATTTATTACTATGAGTAATTCAGCACTTGTATTTGTGGCCAAGCATTCACATAAAAGAAGACCTTTTGGTGATTAGTGGATGTGGATACTGGAATAATGGAACAGAAAGTCCACCCACGTCTGTGGATTTGTCCACTTATAACACTAAAGTACAGTCCTTCAGGTGAGATACTAACCTGCAGTTCACGTTTGCAGCAAAATCTCTAATTTGATAAGATACCACATCATTGGTAAGTCGCATTGCTGTGATTTCTTTTACTGACTTTTCATCCAGCAGACACTCGGCAAGGTTAACCATACAAAGCTTTGTTAGTTTCTCAGCTATGTTATGCACTGCTCCAACCACTGCAGTCTCATAATTTACCCTCTGTGATGCTTCAGTGGCTTTTTTCTTTCTAATTTGAAAATGACCTTTTTCTTTTAAAGAGCTCATCATGTCAGTGTTTAAAACATTCAGGTTTTTTTTCTGTAAACTCTCAGTGAATTCGTTCGATGATAACAAGGTTATGAAGATTATAGCAGATATAACCAAAGATGGCTATCACTGGGAGCATAGAAGTTCTCAGTGAGAACACACTGACTTAATTTCTGAAAACAGAGATGTTTGTTGCTTAAACTTGCTACCTTAGGAAATTCTAAAAAACACGAGAATATGCAGACAATGTTTTTTGTTAGCTGTCAGAGTGATCCGTTATCAAATGCCATGTATCCTCTGGGTTCAGTGTTGTACACTCATGAGAAAACAAGAGCGAAAAAGACAGATAACATCTTTGGATCACTAAAAATCGTTTTGACACTGCGGATCACCTGAAAGGCTCTCAGGGACGCCCCCCCCCCCCAGGAGTCTCTGGATCACACTTTGAAAATGCTGATATAGGGGCCAGCCCCATGGGCGAGTGGTTAAGTTCACGCACTCCGCTTTGGCGGCCCAGGGTTTTGCCAGTTCAGATCCTGAACGCTTGTCAAGCCATGCTGAGGCGCCATCCCACATGCCACAACTAGCAGGACCCACAACTGAAAATATACAACTATGTACTGGGGGGCTTTGGGGAGAAAAAAAGGAAAAATAAAATCTTTAAACAAAAAAAAGAAAATGCTGATATAAACTAGTGCCGTCTCAAGATTTTTAGAGCAGTCTAACACAGGCATCTATATCGATAAAGTGATGTTTCCATCTTAACTGATTAATTTGTCAGGAAGAAGAGAAAATGCTAGTGTGCGGGATGGGCTGTGTGACCTGGAGACCATAATGGGTGGAAGGTCACATAACATCGGAGAGTGGTGGATAAAGGGTAGACAGAAGGGAGGAGTCGGTAAAATCACTTTACAGCTTAAAAAGGGAGCATTAGCTCTTCCTGGGTTTTTTCTTTTTAAACTAAGAAAGCACTGGGCCCACATATACATATGTCCATACTCATTTATATCTGTGCTCAAAATCAGGAGTACTCAGCCAGTTTTTCCTTGTATGACAACAGGGGAGAGATGGCAACATACTTGAGAGGAAACGGCAGATGCTCCTGGCAGTTGTTTGTTCCTTCCACCTAGGGAGGCTGCTGACCTTTTTTTTGAGGAAGCTGACGGGTGACAAGACAAGTGAGGTTAGAAAGAAGAAATTGTGGACGAAGAGTGAACAGAGCAGACATGAGTGATCGTGGGAACGGCTGTAGGCAGAACTGGGCTGTGGACACGGTGGAGACGAGCATTGGAGGGCAGAGAGGGAGACTGTGGGGTGTACTAGATTCTCCTGGACGCTGGACACAGGAAGAATGGGGCCCAGAGAAGTGCAGAGATGGGTGCTACAGGAGGCATGGAGATGAACATATATTTAAATGTGTGTCAAAATATTGTTAAAATAACTTTTTAAGTAACTGTGCTGGATGCTCTGACTTTAATGTCTTACCAATATTCAAATTCTATTGTTATAACCCATATATTCAGTTACAGTAGGAGAAAACAGCAAGGCCATGAGTTTAAGCTGCCATGTCTCTGAACTTTGGTTACAGGCATCAGTGTATGAAAATATCAACTGGGCCAGGTTTGGGGCTGCAAATTCAAGAATGAAATTTTCATACTTTATTTTTTACTAACAGGCAGTTATGATTAAAAGAGAAGAGTTTAATTAAAATAGGTAGCATTTATCAGCTTGTTATTTATGTGGTACTTATTTCCAAAAAGAATTTGAGATGGCAGAAGGAACGATCAAAGTCCATAATCAAGAACAGACATGATTCTAAATCATGTTTTTTTCCCTAATGTTTTCTCTACTGATGACGTTTCTTTTAATAGGGTCATAGAGTTGAGGTACTATAACTATGAAGTAATTGAATTCGTCTCTATTAACTATGCAGGAGAAATATCCTGTCACCTCTTAGTTGCATGTAGTATAAGCAGAATGTATGTTTGTAACGGGAGTGAGGTTGGGCAGGAAAATCATAGCATGCCACAGAAAAGAATCTTTTAAATTCAAGACTGCTTTCAGCTGTAGTTAAGAGAAAGCTGCTAGCAGAGGCTTAAACCAAAAGCTATTTATTATTATGTAGTTCAGAGAAGTTCAGAGGTAGGTGGTCTCGGGGTTGGTTCAGCTGCTCAGCAGTGTCCTTGAGGCCCCGAATTCTCTCCAATCTTCAACTCGGCCATCTTTTGCATGTTCACTTATTGCCACTAGGTCACAAAATGGCTGCCTCAGCTTTAGGCATCACATGCCTTTTCAAGGCAAGAAGGAAGAAGGGGACAGAACAAGTAATTCCTCCTCCTGGGCTTGCCTAACAGGGAACAAAATTCTTCCCAGAATTTTCCATCCGATTTTCTCTTAAGTCTCATTTGCTTGACCTGTTTCACGAGACTGCCCCCACTCACTGGCGAGACTAGGGCAATAAGTATGGCTAAGGGGAGTGGGGCTAACCTAGGCTTAGGCACGTTGCTAGCTGCCCAGGAAAAACTGGGCTTCTGTTAGCGAGTTAGGGAGAGGAAATGTCTGTTGCGGGGCTAGCTAACTGTGTGTCTGTCACAACTCTGCAGACAGGATAGCACAAAGAGTATTAAGTAACTTGTGAAAAAAACTTTAGTCCAGAGGCTGTTGTAAGTGTCCCCCTTAAACGAGGCCATATCCGTTTTCTTTCTTACTTTAGTAGAAGGCGTACAGACCTGTGTCCCAGTTCATTGGAGAGCTAATTTAGAGACACTTAGGCATCAGTCTTCTCAACTATGAAATAAGAATATTGTATTAGATAATCTTTGAGAGAACTTCCCAGTTCTACGGTTCTTCTCTCTCTTCGTTTCCTGTCTTTTGACCATTTCACAATTTATTTATTTATTATCAAAAAAGTAGGCAGGAATGGTGTTTTTTAGGCTTCTTGATAGCTGGATAGTATCTCTAATAAAGATCTTGATGATATGGAAGGTTAAAGGTAACATTAGGTTTTGCCTTTTTTGGCGGTTACGCATATTCTGCCCCAAATTTCCATTGAAAATGGAAAACTAATTGCATTTTTATTTTAGTAGGGGAACATACACATGTATAGTCTGTAATCAAAATGCCCTCAGTACAATGTTCTGAGAAAATGCCCTCTGTGCCAACAGAGGCGGCGTTTTAAGCACTCTTGTTAAAAACTGGCTAGA